TTTAAATGTCCCACCTTAAGAGCAAAAAATTATCAGATCGTTTTTCTTCCCAGAATCAAAGATCGTGCTTTGTTCCCCCTTTTTCCTCAGAAAGGCCCTCAGAATAGGTATAACCGTGTAAAACTTTCGCTTGAGGATCGACCACACACATTCGTCTTAATATATCCCTGCATCGTTGTAGCGCCTGCTTTTCTCAGCTGCAGTGTTCTGTTGCCAGATTCTGGGACCCGGAGCGAAAAGGGGCATCGAGAGGCCGCTGTCAGACCGGGTTCTGTATCCCACGCTGCCTAACCATTGTTCGTTAGAATGAGTGAATAGCTAATCCTCAGCCACATAGAAGAGGGAGCCGCCGCCTACGTTGTTTGCCTTACGACCATCACGTCTCATATCAGAACTTCTATTCTTCTTTATAGTTGCTCTACGGCCACTTTCCGCTTCCAGCACAGTCTGCAGTAGTAACGCTGCTACTCGTGTACCGCTTGTGGCGTTTATCTTCGGAATAACGTATGGACCGCAATGCGCGAAACGGCCTTCACAACAACAATAGTTCCTTCAATTATTATTATCGGTATAATGATAAGGAAAATAGCCCTGGTGAGATGATTGTTAATTATTTACTACGTCTGTTTTAATTTTCTTAAGAAAGTAAATCGCTCTGATGAAATGTGGGTTTGGACAGATGTCAGGGTAGATATTTTACATAGGCTCACTTTATAAAACAGTGTCTGTATGTATCTACTGCTGTACGCATGACTGTTAAGTAAACCAAAAACACCGCTTTCATAAAGTAGCAAAGAGATTAGTCACTTGCTATGTGTACACAGAGGTGGCTAATGATAGCTTTACTGAATTCATTAATAGACGCGGTAAATTTCAATCAAATAAGGAAATTCTCTAAAAAAATGCCCATACATATAAGCTTGTTCTCGTAGTACGGCCATACGTAACATACGGCCACGTAATTAAGTGCGCAGTCCATTTAAAAAGATTGCGTCCGGTTACCGGCTATGCGACCTTCGGTACTAAAGCGTTTTCTGCAATAAAAAAAAAAATAGAAAAAAAAAGTCGTTCAATAGATTCTCTTTTTTGGAACAAGGCCCAACTTTTTTAACCCGCCGCATCCCTTCACGGTTATTATTTACTGTATTATTCCCAGATGATGAATTGATATTCCTCTGCTTCGAATGAACAATACGTCCCGGGCCACGCACTTTTTCAAATTTTTGTGCAGCCCTTTTTGTGCCTCTTCTTTGTCGCCGCAGTGACCACTGGCGCCATGGTAAGTTTTTTTTTCTTCATATTAGCACTCATTACTATAGGCGAAGAATTTTGAGTACAAGTACGCTTGACTGCGTCGCAGACCACAGTATCGGATCTCCAGCCATGTAATTTGCTGCCATCACCACTTTTCAAGAATGAGACACATCCCTAATTAGAACTATGATCTGGAGTAGTTGCCGGTGACGACGCTTTATCGAAAGCTTCTTTTCCGCTCCCTTTTTCATTTGATAACGTTTTCCCTATAGCGAATGTGAATGCATAAACGCATGACCGTGTGGGCAAGCGGAAACGGAATAAGGAAACATGGCCGCGTCCCATACGTTTTGTCCTAACTTTTTAAATAGGTTGTCTGCACTTGTCCGCCAAGAGAAAGACAAAGGCCAAAAATCTACTGCAAGATTATGAGTGCGTGTTTTTTGTAGATATATACTTTATAAGCCGTACAGTAAGGCTTCAACCCGCTCAACTACTTTTTGCCTTAGACAAGAAAAGCATTTCATCTTGCAATTCACCCTGTGCAGCTGAAGTACTATCGCGCTTACTTTGGGAGGACCTGTCAGTGAAGTCTAGGTTATATATATATATATGCATGGCACATTTATTCTACCAACAAGAGTATCCGTAATACGGGCAGACGACTAAGAAATAACTAAACAATTTCAAACTATGCTATCGCGTTTTCTGTGCGTCCCTAATTTTATACTCGAACAACAGTTAGCTAGGGATCTTTGATCATCGGCGTTGTCATCTGTTTTATCATTGTTGTATAATTCGAATCAATATGGTGATGTACGATAGAAGCTGTGCTAATGATTATCAACCAATTGAGATGTAACAGACTGCCGAATCTGTGGCAGCAGCAGCAGCAGCGGCGGCGGCGGGCGAAGTGGCTCCTTAAACGGTCCTATAAAGATACGTTTCCGTCTGATAATAGCTTTTTCAAGATCGCGTTTTCTCCATAGCTGACTGTGTGCGCGTGTATACGACAGTGTACATAAAACTGTACACGGAACATACGCGAGCTTTGCCTCTAAACTTCTTGCACTTCTATAATTTCTAACCTTCCCTGTTACGTTGAAAAAGGTACCGTAAAATGGGACGGCATATCTAATGTTCGCCCATTTTTCACCCTTCTTAACCCTCACATTTGAAGACAATGTATACTTTGGATCAAATGCAGTATGGGGTTATATGCTGACGCTTGTGACTCACACTGGTACGCTAGTTATGTTTGCAGATGTTCAAAAGGGAACACGTGTAGGGAGGATGTCGAGGAACGAATTGCTTGAGAAACGGTATATTCTGGGAGTGCACAGGAACTTGCGAAATTGTAAGGACGCTGGAGTCTCTAGGGAGAAACTGCTAGATATCACAACGGAGAGATAGTCTGCTGACAGAATGAGAAGACCCTGTGCGGGTTTGTTTCCTATCGATACATTAGAGCATACGTTCGTTCATAGAGAAAGTTCGTTTGGAAGATAATGGAGTTCCACTAGCGATGGTGACGCATTTATCCATCGCTTCTGTGAGACTTCCACCGTTTTTGCTGCGGATTCTGCCACCGCTGGTGCTACCCCCCACTGTGTTCACTGTTAGCGTTACTGAGCCACCCGTTTTATTATCATAGATATCTCCGGTCGACCGTAGAAAATTAATCGCCCACAAAGCTAGCCAGTCGCCCTGCGGACTGCCATATGCGCAGACCCCCATGCGGTCTTTTGGAGAGGCGAAGCGGAAAGCGGCTTTCTTTGTTTTTTTATACCCATGGGTTGAACTTTGAATTGGGAATTGAACAAAAGATGGGGCATTCCGTAGCAAGTATGAAAATGTCTGCATTTACAATAGCAATAAGCGCAATAACGAGAAGTGAAAAGGAGACAAAAGACGGTTGTGAAAATAACTAAATACATAATGCGTGTGTGTTGAAATGGGAACCTGCACAAGCAAGGCTTGTGATAATACCTGTACTTGGCAAGGCTTTCCAAATTACCGATAACGTCATGCTGGAAACGTTCTGAGACTACTACATAAGAATAGGAAATTCATTGTATATAACTTGAACTTTAATTAAGAAGTGACCTAATCTACTGTCAAAAAAACACATGCACAACAACTGTAAAATAATAGTTTAGTTTTTTTTTTAAATGGAACAGACTTTTGTCAAGTTAAATCAGATGACTATATTTAAACGATGGTTAAACAGTTATCTACAAGTTAAGTATGTATCCTAGAAGTTACTGGCGCTGTCAAACCATAATAACCAAGCAGTGAGTAAAAATTTTCTATGGGCATTAAAAAAAACTGTTGCCAGGAATTGAAAGCAGGCCTAAGTAAACAAACTTTTTGCTAAATCGGAATGAGCTATTATAAAATGAGAGCTCTTTGCTGGAAACGTCAAGATAGCGCTCTTTCGTGTGGCCAGGTTGTTTTACTGAACACAAATATAACAAAATGCACGAGGGGCTGTATTGCACAACACAATATACGTTATTGAGCAGGTCGGATAAATATAGAAGGCTTGGCATTTTGGTCTCAAAGCAAGCCTCGCATCATGGACCTGATAAGGGACTCTCCACTGAAACACTACAACCGTCGTTCACACGTTTAAACTCATTGCTGATTGTTGTACAATCAGTGCCATGCCAGTTAAGGCCTATTAAATACTGTGTAATGCCTAGTAAATCTAGTCCTTATTGCTTAATTTAGCACCGGAACAATCCGTTTTGCAGGGCCATTAACCTGTTCTGACGGTTCTTTGACACGTGTCAAAATGAAGCATAGGCATATTGAATGAATTCTGGATGTCCTGTGGAAACATAAACAGGGTTGATAGATTTGAGAATATAATATACAAAATGAACATGTTATACATATATCTATGCTTTGATTGAAGATCAACGAAGACCAAAAAATAAGTACCATATCGATGTGGAAATGGCATTCCTGTGATATACGTACGTTTTTAATACACTAACATGAATCACGTAGTAACAATTTTTTTTTTCTGTAGAAACTGCCTCCCGATTTTCTAACAGGCCACCCAGCTGACCTCGTTATCAAGGTGAAACATGCAATATTTCTGTTAAAACAATCTAGGTACTCCGATTGCCCCGAATGACAGTTAATATAGTCTTCCTGAGTTAGCTCAGCTAGCTCGACCGTTGGGAGATCATGAAAAAATTAAATTAATGTATCGGTTATTATCAATTAAGGCGAATCGGTGTCGTTGTTTGCTTGTGAACGCAGATGCCCCATTTGGCGTGTATTGCACCATTTCGTCGTCATGTGTCTTCTTAGCATCAACGCCCAAAACGATCAAACACCATCTACTATGATTAGTAATGCACAGGCAGCAATTTAAAGGCTTGTTTAAAATTTTGCGAGGTTGCAAAATCTTCATAGTTACCAAACCATTATATTTTCATCCGAGTAGCCCATCCGCGTATCCGTCTCGTTTATGGAATAGCCCGTGTCTCGTAAGTTCATAATATTCAGAAGCTAATTCTGCATATGCTTAAAAGTGTAAACACGCCTACAATTATTGCTACGTTATATTTTTTGCCATTATAACTTGTTAGCTAATGTGGAATCGTATGCGGAACTGTAGTCCGTTTTAGAAACACTAAATCTGCTCAGTATCAGAGAAGATGGACGTTAGATTGATGGCTCTTATAAACGACCTATGAGAAATAACGATCTGGCGGTCCTTCAGCTCGCGTTAGTCCAACGATGAACGCACACTGGGATCTTTCTAAGGATTACAATGTGTGGCCTGGTAGCACGGAGCACCCCTGGCCCAGCCCTCAGATCTTATCCTTCACCGTCTCTGCTCGCTGCTGGTAAGTGGAATCATTCGTCGCAGATTATGTAAATTTCACTTGTGTGTAAATCCAATACGTTCGTGAGCTGCATGATTTAGGCCAGCGATGCAGGTAAAATTTAATTCGTCGCCGTTTGGGCGTAATTCTTGATAATGACGACATTTGTTAGGTTGGCCGTTCTATAAGCAGCAGTACATGGTAGAGACGGCGTTGTAAGACTCAACAACGTTTAACGTCATTTAAACGTTTGAAAACTTCAACGGTTACGCCGTATTCGTATTAGACGATGATGTATTTGGTGAGTACGGTTTTTGCATACAATGCTGGTCTTGCTAAATATATAGTTTGTGTCTTACTGTTACTCAGAACCATCTTTATCTGCTTGATGCTGTAAACAAGTACGGAGTTTTTTATTGTTATTTTGTCATAAGGGAAACTGAATTTTGCGTAAACATTATCATTTAATAGTTCCGAAATGTCCATATTCTGAGTTTAAATAACATGTACATATATAGGATAGCATCATATGGGGCTATATCGGATAGCTAAATATTTTTTTACATTTTATCGAACTTTTTTAAACGATATAGAAGCAAATAACAAGGTTATTTTTCTACTTCAGGCAAACTGAAAGTAAGTTATGTGTTGTAAGAGCCCTTATACTGAGTTATATTACGAATGAGCCAGGGCGAAAAGGAATTACACAGGCCACTACGTTTCACGCGTATGTGAAACCCGATGCCAACTTTACAAGGAAATTAAGGGAGCTAAGTGGCTTCAGATTGTAAGTCGGTTTAAGTTAAAAATACAGATATGTATATATATATATATATATATATATATATATATATGTTAAACGATGGTACCTTGTTTTCGCATTCGTTTTACCACGTATAGTTGTTATCAACAACGCGTTACATATAATTGTTTTTAGGGGAAGGTAAGTTTGACAACTTTACTGACATGCTGTATCGACCGGATGGAGCAGTATTGTCAACACATACATCACATTGCGGATAACCATGATTGTAGCTCAAAATTCACTGAGGCTCATTATTTATGCCAGAATCACGCATAACTACATTAGTTATACCAGTTTTAGTGTAGCTTGACAAGTTGCCGGAAAGGCCCGGTGAGACTTGTTACCCTCGTACGCTTCTTTCATGTCCCTTAGGAAAGCCTCAAAGGTATCGGTAGTCCCAGTCGGTCCCTCAGGAAGCTTTTCTCCTAGATGAAGATATGAAATTCTTTCTTTTATCGTCGTCTATGGGCATAGTAGGCCAGTGGACGATTAAATCAGGCCTCCGTTCCTGAAAATTTTTTAAAGAAGCTTTATTGGATGGTGCTCACGCTGCTAGCATAGCTTTGAACGTCGCCTGGCTGGCTCATGGCCAGCCCAAACCATACCCTACGCGAATCTGGAATTAACATAAAACAGTCAACACAACAGCTTCCTTCAGGAGCCAATTGTCAGGCACAATATTATCTAGCTCCTACAGGTCAAACGGAAAAATTAGCGGCACATGACAACTTCCGCGGCCAGACGTGCCGCGTCCATCGTTCATAGCCTGCGTCAAAGCGTCTTCTACGAATCGATTTGTGCTATCCTCACCCACAGTTCACACTAAGTATTGTTGTCGATTTTTCGATTAAATATATATACAGACGTTTTGGAAGTCTCACAAAGGCATTCATCTTAAACTGGTGTTACTGGACCAAAGTTCTTGCAAGGAGCATGTAAATAAATTTAGCGTTTTTTCGCGGAGCGAGCGAATCCCTACCGAGATAATGAACTTTTAAGATTGCCTGGGTCGACAGTGCACCTCATTGCAAATGAGCGTACGGTTGCAGAATAAGCAGAAGCTGACTTCAATCTGCACAACGGAAAGCCCATGACATAGAAAAACAGTGCTGACCCAAAAGTTGTCGCCATCTAAATGGACGTATGTGACCATCATTCGGGATCAGCCTGTTCGTTAGTGAAGCAATTTAAATCCGACGACGGCAGCCATGTTACGGCCTGTTCGACAAATACACTGGACACGTTATAAAAACCAGGCAGATCCTCTCCGAGGAAAGTAAAGCCAAAATATTTGATCGCTGTCGTTTGCTCCTCAGTTCTCTCAGGAGTAAAACATCAGGCCGTTTTCTATTCCTCCCCAGCCAAAAAAAAATTATTTTCGATGCCAAAATTAACCGCAAAGATGACTACTAATTTGCTTATCCAACGTGCCTTTTGCAGGTCAAATAAAATTTATAGCCAGCAATTATGCGTGCTATCCAATAAAAAAAATGAATGAAGCGTCTTTTGCGAACTGTCACGCAGTGGGTCACGTATTTGAACTTCGCTGGCATTGTCTTCCAGCAACATGATTGAGTACGTCCACCCCACGGTTTTACTATATCATAATCTTTTATTTCGAAGGTCTAAACGATAAGCCAGTGATAGAGCTTCATGCTTATAAGCATACTGGGATTATCCTCAGACACGCTTAAAGCATGTGATGATAATCGTAGCCAAAATAATTAATCTTAGTCCTCCAAAATCGAAATATGTAGATTTTTCGAGTCTAAATTTTCCTTCAACGCGTACCCTTTTCTTTATACCTAGATCTTTTAGAAATCCCCCATGTAGATCTAGAAACGATTTAAGGTAAGATTTCGCAGTGTTAATTTTCTTATATATAATAAGAATGTAATATATATTCTTTCCCTTCGTATAGCACAATGCATACTGACTGAGCTTAAAATCAGTAAAACTAGGCTAAATAAAGCGTTACACTGCACATACGTAGATTGCTAAGGTCACATGGATATCGCATTCAAGGTCTTATCTCCCCACCCCCCTCTTTCTGTTCTCCTATTTTGTTTCCATAGGCGCGTTACTTTGTGCACAACTAATTGTAAGATACAGTGTCTTCTCTACCAGCATCTCCTTCGATGGCATGTGACATGACTACATAGGTGCGCGACCTCAGTTACCCGCCTACGTCAAAAAGAGAACATACATACTGCCGGCATGCAGTCTTCGCCCCTAGCTCTATGGCCTGTCTAAACCATTTCGGTCATCTCTTTGTCTATCTTGCACCGTCACGCGCTTTCTTCTACCTTTCTTTGCGAAACCGGCCAAGACCCCCCGAGAACGCTTTCAACATCCATCTCAGAGATGGTCGTTAGTTATTCTCCACGACTTGGGGGTTGTTTCCTGCCGACGGACGTATCATCAGCTTCACTTGCCAGCTTGGCTTTGCATCCCTTAGCGACTCTTCTCACCCTTACATCTACACACCGGTGTCGTCAGCAGCACCATGAACTCCACCGCGATCGTCGTTACCCCTAGGTTCTTCCTCTAGCTTCTCTGCACCAGGCAGGCGTACCATCAGCACATGGCGGTACCGCCCATTCGTAGCTCGGCTAAGTCTCCCAAACGGTGTTTCTCGCATTTGCGTCGACTCTCCACCTTGGTTCGTTATCGTCTTTTTCTTATTCAACTAAACTAGTTCCTTTCGAGTCTTATCTCAAAGCACCTCTATGCAGCCATAGTTGTTGGTCGTACCTTCTGTACTTTGAGTACTCCTGGCCCCGTTCGTTCCGTGGCTCGTGTGTCCTCCTGGCGATTTCTGTTTTCTACCCATGCCTCCATCGGCTGCTTCAGCCATTCCCCCATACAGAATCTCCTCTGTCAGTAATTCTCTCTGATGCGTCCAAAGCCGCCGATGGCCTGCTGGCTACCTAGACCGCACTTCCTCATATTCTCAGCTTCTCTCTAAGTCTGTACCAGCTTTTTGACTGTAGGTGCTATACTTCCCACAGGACTATGTGTGGTAACCAAGCATGGGTCGAGTCTTACTAGCGCACTGACTAGTCGATTCTGACCCGGATCCGTCAGAATTGGGCATCAGAACCAGGATCAACGACGGCTAAAGGAACCAATAAAAACCCGAGACAGAACATGACAGAAAAACACGAGCATGAAAGTGCAGAAGCTGTCTAAGAGACAACATCATGGACAGCGACATAGGAGAAGGAAGGACCACTACGATACGATTTCAATACCGGGTACTGCCAGAAAAGTCTACTATAGTACGCCAGTCAGTTAGCTGGCTCTTGGTGGCTGCCTTGCTTCCATGCAGGCTAAAGATGCCTCTTACCTACCTTCGTTTACGCTCACTCGGATATTAGGGCTGCAGCTTCCCGCCTCGGATAAGCAAGCGAAGTTGCTAGAGAAACACAATTTTCTCTCCTGAGGGGGAAGAGCTCAACGAAGGAGTTAGGCACGGGGATAGAAGTGAGTGCTGTTCTTGACGGTGAAACTGAATGAGAGATACGCCGTGAGCGAACGAAAGCAGAAAAAAACGATAGTAAAGTAAGCGTCAGTTTCGAAGACCGACGTCTGTCGTTACCGCCAACATCGTCGAGGCCGCTTTTGCCGTACTTCACAGAAGTTTTGTTCCTTCTGCTGCTCTCGCAATGTAAGCCGGCTTCTTCTTTCCTTCGTGGCGCCCCACGATTTAAAGCGTCAGCAAGCATACGGGTGACAGCCAACACTCCGCGACTTGCTTGGCCGTTTTGTCGCTAAACCCTATATAGGCCTATCTTCCTTCGCTGTTAGCAGTTTGGCTGCTACTGCCTCTAGTGAAAAAGACCTCCTTGTTACCCTGCCGGTATCCGTCTTGTCCTTATCTACTAGGACCAGACACCGGAGACGGCCGCCCTGGACGAGAACGATGATGAGCGCACTCAGGCCGACACATGCGGGCGCTCACAGAGACAGGTGGATAAGCGGGAAAAAGGCACTAATGCAAGGGAGTGATGCATGCTCAGAGCGTTTGTCCGCTGCGCCGGAACGCGTCTTCTGGCAGACACGTATAATAGGACCACTTACTTAGTGATAGTTGACAACGAATACATATAATGTTACCGGGTCGCGGCAAGAGGTTGGGACTTGCAAGACTGTTGTTGATGGCAGTGATCGTGATAATGCTGGTGATGATGCTGTTATTGTTGTTCCCTATCTTGCTGCGATGGCCGTCGTACTACACACACGCCCACACACACACCCACACGCAGGTAAATATAGTCACATTCTGGTGCATATAAGCGGTCGTATTGAAACGGGTGACGTGTTTGTTTATTAATCTTTAGGTACATTGGATGATTGCTGGTCTAGATTCGAAACCATCGTATTGCTGGAAAGGATTGCCAGTTGTCTGTGCCAGCGATGATCAACAGCGGCCGTAGAATCGGGCTAGGTAAAACTAGGAATATCTGTTGGGTACATATGAGTGGATGTGCTCCATACATGGTGACATCTCCTACGACGCTATCTCGCATAAGCGGGGAAGCGTAACCTGCTAAGGCAATATAGGCTGCGCTAGTGGACACAGGGTCAAGCTTTGTGCCATAAGCAGCCAGATTGTTTGATATGTGCGAGAACTGGGGTAGGCGAGTAAACAAGTATCTAGTCGTGCCTCTCTACCCAGTACATGAATAATCTGCTTGTTGAAGAGTGCTACCTAGGTTAGTGTTTTCCTACATTAGCACTTTCTCCATTAATAATACGCGAGAAAGCGCAGTAACGACTAGCACGTGCGTCGACGCTGTACAGGCGTCTCATTGTATGAACGTTGCGTCCATTTCCTATCATGACATTTAGTACGCAACGACTGAAATCTGTCGCCTGACTTTGTGTGTGTTTATATAGGACACATGTTTATTCTTCAAAGCTCACAATGCACATAGCCGTGTAGCGTAGAG